AAAACTGTATCGAATAAGTTTGGAAACAAAACTTTACTTAGAACTAAGCTTGCCAAACACGCATAGATTCTTTTGGTTCTTTTGCCACCATATAGTAGCCTCTTCTTGTTCTAACACTTTAGGAACACTATTAAGTTCTGAAACCAAGATATGCCTGGCTACAACTTGTGGAAACTCCACACACAAATCAATATGCAGTATGTCATAGGTTTTTCCTTATTATCAATATCTGGTGAAGAGTGTTCACGTCTAACGGTAATCATGTACCTTATTCTTATCTAAGGAATTAGTATACCAAATTTTTCATGAAACTGAAAAACCTAATTGATTGTTCCCTACAATATCTTTAGCCTGTCCTTACTTTTTGATAACCATTATGTCAAGGCCTATTCCAGTACCCTGTTTTCTATTAGAAATTTGCCCAAAATTACATTAAAATAATTTTTATTAACCATGATACTATGTTCAATAGTAGTGTTCTTCCATTGCAACCTGTCAAACGTAATGTGGTCATGGCCAGATTTCCTGTTGCTCACTAAATGATCCCAGGGATTGTAAGTCATTTTTCATGAGCACATAACATTTATCAATTCTGCCAAAAGATATAGTAATGACCTGAAAAAATGGCCAAAAAGGATTCATGTCCCATATTATCGAGAATAAGGCTTGGTTTATTATTGTTTTAAATAACATCTACCAAATAGATAATGCTGAAATTATTAATGAAAGTATGAAAGTGTCCTTTCCTTAGCAATCAATTGACAGTAAAAAGTTAATCACAACTATGAAATTTCTGTGTCCTTTGTAATAGTAACAGAAATTCATACCTCAGGGTAATTAAATCCACTCTTAGGATTTCCAATTATTCGGTGAACACCTCTTTCCCCTAATAGATAGCCATAAGCATATTTGAATTCGAATTCAATTGTAGCTGACTTGATACCTCCATTCTTTGCAGGACATCTCTCAACTAACCTCACTGCATGGCCTTGCTTTTCAGCCCATTTCATGTACATTCGAGCGAGTTGTCCTGTCCATGTCTGAATAAATTTTACATCAAGATCTTAATGGCGAAGACCCTATTCCGTTTAAAAAAATAAAATACAGACCTACTGCTAATGATATAAAAGAACACCTTTTCCCAAAATATCAAGTAACTCGTATGCCTTAGTACATTAATGGAGGAAATGGTCCTTGTAAATCTAGAGACGAAGAAGCTGATTCACGTAGTGGTTTAGAGGTTTGTTTCAAACTTATTCATACAATGAATATACGAATAATGCAAAAAATTAAAAAAAAATAAAAGAAGAAGAAGAAGAAGAAGTAGAAGGAACACATCATAGCACATCAAAACAAGTTTATCCAATGAAAAAGCAATGAGGTATTCAGAATTAGTTACCAATTTCACAAAATTGTAACTATAACTTAGCAGAAACACCAAAACAATTGATAAAGACATAAGCCAAATCCGAAAAGAAGATAAAAGGAACTATGACTAGCAAGAATGAATCATAGACAATCACATTGACCATGTAAGAAAGCTCAAATAAAGGATTCAATCGAGTCATTCATGTATATAATAGAAACTCTCTAGGAAGTGCTCATGGACAGTCCTAATCTTGAACCTTGTTGAACATTTATTAACTGACAAACAAGTCAATAAAAGATTTGCTTTGAAAAAATAGCTTATGGCTACAAAGAGTCAAGGTTAAAAGCAGATTATAGAATAATAAATATTTTTTATGAAGTTAAATCATCCCTCACTGATGAGTTATAAATGTTATTCCATTTAAAAGAGCCATTTAAAAGAATAGTAACTCTACAGAAAAGCATAAAGTCTCAAACCACAAACCTCTAAGGAAATGTCTCCACATCTAGATTCAATTTTGGGACATGCTCCCTCCATGTCATATGACTTTTTAAGAAACTTAGATGTCTCATACTTATCCAAAAACTTGTTTAAATCTACAGATACAAAATATGCATGCTTGAAAAGCTCGTAATTTACAGTATCTAGCTCTGCAAGCTCTTTAATCGATTTAGCTTCCTCAGCCTGCAATAGATGTTTACAACTTCTCAAACCATTGAGCCCCCTTCATTGGCATCTTATAACCTTAAATAACTTAGTATATTATAGAAAAATGAGCAAATTTACACACACACACACACACACACACACACACTTTCAAGTCTTCTAATTGACAATTGTCTCCAAATAGACATACAAATACTTGCACGAGAAGCAAACTACCTTATATTTGAGGACTTTAAGGGCATCAACCACCTTGGCACTGTCGGCTAGTTTGATGAGGATTTCATTTGATTTCCCCGAGTCATCCCACTAGTCATGATCACGAATAATTTCTTCTTGCTTAACATGTCTTACTTCGTCATGTTCCAAGGCTATTGGTGCTAATATCTCAGCATGGAGAATTGAATCTGCTATCCTTTTTCTTAAAGAAAATATATCTATATAAAACCAAACCATTACAACCAATACAAGTGGCAAATTCTATACTATTGTATGCATATATCATACAAATATTAGGGCTGAACATGATCCGATTCGATTTTCGTTAGAACGGAACCGGACCTGAAATTTTTGGGTATTTAGTAAGTGGAACTGTCGGGTCTAAATTTAATTATGGAATCATTCGGGTTCGGTTCAGTTCAGTAACCAGGTTCCATAGTATAATTGTTTTTTTTTAATATTTACAAAACTACATTAATTCAAGTAATAATATGTTCAATCTTAACTCTTACAAAATAACATAATCCAATTTTATGTATCTTTTGTATCTTTCTTTACTGAGTTCTTTATAGATTTGATTATTAAAATCACATGAAGAGGAAGATAGCGAGCTCACAAAAATTAATAGAGGCGTTGTCGAGTTTCAATTCGATTTCTCCAGAACAATAGAAATGGTACTATGGTAAAGTAACAGATTTGAATAAAACTTAAATCAATTTGGTTATGTTGGCTTTAAATTGAAAATTAGAAATAGGCAAATCATATTTTT